TCAGGCTCTGATCCACCAGGAGGCCTGGTCACAGACCGGGCCGCGGGGGCGTTGACCCCCGGAACTCTCTCCAGGTAAACTCCAGGTAATCCCCCTTGTGTATGCTGGGAGGCAGTTGAACGTCTCGGGCCCCTGACACTTATTGTATGGTCTCTTAACGTGCTAGTGACACCCCTGCTTTTCATTGGGGGGATGTTGCATCGTCTGCCAAGTCTTTTGCTTTCGTAGTGAGTGATTTTCGTGTGCAAGTTCGGTACTAGTCCCTCTAGGATTTTCCAGGTGTATATAATCATGTATCTCTCCCGCCTGCGTTCCAGGGAATACAGGTTCAGGAACCTCAAGCGCTCCCAGTAATTGAGGTGTTTCATCTCCGTTATGCGCGCCGTGAAGGTTCTCTGTACATTTTCTAGGTCAGCAATTTCACCTGCCTTGAAATGTGCTGTTAGAGTGCAGCAATATTCCAGCCTAGATAGAACAAGTGACCTGAAGAGTGTCATCATGGGCTTGGCATCCCTAGTTTTGAAGGTTCTCATTATCCACCCTGTCATTTTTCTAGCAGATGCGATTGATACAATGTTATGGTCCTTGAAGGTGAGATCCTCCGACATGATCACTCCCAGGTCTTTGACGTTGGTGTTTCGCTCTATTTTGTGGCCAGAATTTGTTTTGTACTCTGATGAAGATTTAATTTCCTCGTGTTTACCATATCTGAGTAATTGAAATTTCTCATCGTTGAACTTCATATTGTTAAGTGTTCTAGATGATGCTGATCTCATAATGTAATACACAAGCTGTAACTACATAAGCAGAGGGTGGCAGGCTGTAACGACACAGATTATTATAATCTTAGATTATTGTAATAAAAAAGCGCAAGAGAATAAGGTCAACCCAAAGGGTTGCTGTATACGAATAAGATTTGCAGGTGAAAAAATAGTGGCACTGTAACAATATAGCACTGGGTCAGCTAACTAGACAGTGATGGCATGCTGTAACACAACAGTGGTGGCCAGCTTGTAACAGGCAGTGTGGCAGCGATATCCAGTAATGATAAGTGATGTGCAGGACGATAAATAGAACATGTGCAGCTGTTACGGTATAAGTGGGTGCAGTGGTCGTATAGAGTAATAGGTGCAGCAATGTAACGATATAGACAAAGGTGCCCTAGGTATGACGTACAGCAAGGGTAGAGGTTGTAAGAGTGAGCTTAGAGCAATGTAACTTTATGTAGACAGTTGCAGTGAGTGGCAAGCAGCATGCAGTGGTGGCGGGCTGTAACGGCAAAGGAAGAGTGTTGGGGTACCTCCTTTGTAACGGACAAGCATGGTGCAGGTCCTAGATTATGAGCAGCGAAAATATAGACCAATGTGCAAGGCTGTAACGATCATATGGGGCAGGTGTAACGATATTATATGGCAGCATCAATAACAATATGGCGCTAGGAGTTGGACGTACAGCATGGTAGGTTAGAGTGACGTAGAGCAATGTAACTTAGATGTAGAGCAGTGGCATGTTGGAGTGGCAAGGCAGAGCAGTGGGTGGCGGGCTGTAACGGCAACGAAAAGCAGTGGTGGGGCTACCTGCCTGTAACGGGGACGTAGAGCAGTGGGTGGCAGGCTGTAGTGGAGGCAGCAGCAGCTGCTCCCCACCACCACAATAGTGTCCCTGGGAGCCTCCACCTTAGGGTTGCGTCATCTGCGACTCCTACATTTTGCACCAGTTGCATGTAGCTGCTTGATGGATGTACAGCGTGTTGGGCAGCCTGAGGAAGAGTACACAGCAGGATTATTTTGAATGGCAGGCTATGTGTGAACTATATCTCCAAAAGTTTTCTAAAGGGAAAAATATCTTTGGGGGCGAATTTGGTGTTTCTCTTGTGTGTTTTTACAAAACAAATTTTAAAATCTGGAAGTCCCCGTCCCCCGTTAATTTTGTTGGTTTTTTCCTTTTTTTTTTAAAAAAAGTCATGAAAACCAAGTAAAGGGAAATTTAAATTTGAATTTGATTTGAACGTCTTTGGGCGGTCGGGAAGTTTTGGCTGACACAACTAATCTGCCACTTTTTTTTTTCTTTCTTTTTATAAATTCCCTTTCCCCATAAAAACCAAGATTATTTTTTCCTCAAACCCTGGGTAAAAAACAATTTTTATTTTTAAAAAATTTAATCTACTGTAGGATGTGTGTTAAGGGGCCCCCCCCCCCCTCAGGTTCCTGGGTAAAAGTCTTAGTTTTGGGGCCAGTTCTTTTTAAAAGTTTTTTGGGGGTTCTTTACAAAAGGGTTTTTACAGACGGGTTTGTACATATATACGTGGTTAAATTTAAAAACATAACAGTTATAGGCAAAATATTAATATAAAATAATTTGATATCAAATGGGAAAAAATTCGCATTTTTTTTAAACCCTTTTTTTAAAAATCTTTGTGCCCCGTAAAAGTGAACCCAAAAACCCTTTAAAAACAAATTTAAAAAAATTAAAACCCTGCTAATATGAAAAATACAACCCCCAGGGTTACCCCCGAGAAATAAACAATGACTAATTTCCATAAGTTTACATATACATTTTAAAAGTGTAACTATGAAAATAGTGTTATTTTTAGTAATTAAAAAACATTATTTTCTGAAAAAGTTGGATCTTTTGATTTTTTATATTTGCAGAATGAGCTTTTTTTTAAAATAAACTTTTTTTCTGTACTTAAACTACTGTGGGTTTTGCCCTTTTTTAAAAAAGAAATGTACAGCTACCTGCAAAAACATGACACCTTTAACTAATGTAGTATAACTTTTAAAACCCTAACATAAGATTAAGATTTTTTTTTTTTTTTAAACCCCAAGGGTTAGCCTACAAACTATTTAGTATAGTATTTAAAAAAATATATAAGGTAACCCAAAATCCTAACTTCAAATTTTTGGAAAGCTATGAAATCAATAAATGGGGTAAAGTTTAAAACAAAACTAAAATTTTAAAAATAGTTTAAAATTGTGGAACTGCAGAAAATGGTTATAGGAAGAGGCATTCCCACCCCTTAAAATTTTTAAAAAACTTTTTTTTTTAAAATAATATTTGAACAGAAACCCAAAAGAAAAAAATACATTGTTTATGTTAATATGGATTTCGAAAGGGCCTTTGATAGAGACCAATTCAGTAGATAGAAAAAATGGGCAGCCCCTAAGTTTTTAAGGGTGGAAAAAATTTATTTTCGGGAATGGGGCAGGGTTTGACAATAGACAATGATTTTGGGCATAAATGGGAGAAATAAAAGGGGAAAACCCTTTACCACTGGTTTTCCCAAACTGGGGCCCAGTAATTTTTTCACAATATTTTTTAAAATTACCTAGATGGGGGAGAGTAAATAGTGATAAAAAAAAAGTTTGCTTGATGACACCAAAATAGGCTGGGAAAAAATTTTTATAACACAGAAGGGATTTGTGACTGTATGGAACACCCCAAAAGTATTGTCGTTGAAGCCAGAAATTTGGGGTAATTTTAAAAACAAGTAGATAAAAAACGCGAGTTGGGGTGGGTCAGCAAGCCTGCCAGACCCGGGGCCCAGTGGGCCCCTGCAGCATGTACCTGGATTTTACCTGGGAGATTTCCCGGGGGGTCAACCCCCCGGGGCCTGGTCTGTGCCCGGCCCTCCGGGTTTGGATCAGAGCCTGATAAACCGGTTTGTTGCTGCGGCTGCCCCGAAAAATTAACGTACGACCACACCCCCGGCTGTTTCAGGAACTGACTTTAGGTGCTTGTCCAGTCCAGCTTAAAGATTTGCCGGGGTCTTTTTGGAAAACCCCCCCTTATGTGTTTTAGAAAAGTTTGGTGTTTCTTTTAAATTTTAAATTTTTAATTTGTATTACAGAACTTTAATAAATTAAATTAGATTGTTACTTATTTCCCTTACAGTTGGGCGATGCTGAAAACTTTTACCCCAAAAATTTAAAAATTTCCCTTGGGATGTCACTGGTTAAATTAAAAAGGGAATAGGGTTTAATATGCTGACTAAAAAAAGAGTATTTTTTTTTATTTTTAAAAGGGTAATTAATTTGGCAGGAAAAATTTATTAATTGACAAGTTGGATGTTAACTTTTATCATTTTTCTCTGTACTGTATATTTCAAGCACCTTTATATTCATAATATAAATAAAGCTTCATCAATGACAGATAGTTGTACCATGCAGCCTTGAGACTTCTGTTACTTACTTTTTGATAAGTGGTGTAAAAGACTAATTCATAGTCTTTTACATCTGCTTCAATTTTGATTTTATATGACAGTATTTAGTTTGTAGGTGCTGCATTTTTTCGCCAAAATTGAAACATATTTATCCACACAAAACTGCATTTACTATTTCTCTTTCCATAAAATGAGTCTTTGAGAGTCCTGCAGTTCCCTCATATCCACTCTCGGAATTTATATGTTGGGATATTTTTGTGTTTATGTAAATTTGCAAAAAAAAAAACTAGCATTCTGCACACTGATATATGGGAAATAGCACTTGACTGGTTCTCATTCTCAGTTCCTCATAATTTATGTAACCGCTTTGTTGCCTATTGGTCAGCCATGCCTCAGAGAACTTGTCCAAAATCTTTACTAGTACAAACCTGTACTAGTACAAGAGTTGTTTTGCACAGAAAACAATATTCAGTGTTCATACTGTAACCTGGAACTTGTAAGATTTTAATTTGTTTCTGAGTGCCCTGTATGTAAGTGTATATACTGTATGTGTATGCAGCTTAGTGTTTGCAAGTTGAAATCCTTTTGTACATTTTATGGAATCATGGTACAGTAGTAGGTACATTATTGCCTCATACTAAAATGAACATCTACCTTTATATGGCTCTTTTGTTATAAATTTGCTTGATTGCTTTATTTGAGCTTATAGTAGACCCATTATTTTTTTTATAAGAAACATTGTTATTTTTTCCTCAAGATTAAAGGAAATGTATATATATTTCCTTTTTTGAACATTTCTATGTAATGTATTTAAACTGTTTTAAAATATTACATCTGTACATAGTTGTTAATATTGCAGGCATCATGTTGTGGACAGTTGAGTTGGAAGGTGGCCCACAGCGCGTTAATCACGCTGCTGTCCCAGTAGGGGAAAAAATATACTCCTTTGGGGGATACTGCACAGGCGAAAACTATCGAACCATACGAAACATGGATGTACATGTTTTAGATACAGGTAAATAATCAAAGAAAGCAATTTTAAATACATTAATTGAAGTTTTCCATAGCTCTAGTGTTCACTTTTTCAGTTTGCTAATTTTAGCTTTGGGTGTAGTTAATCGTGGGTTGTTTTTATGGCTGAAAAATTTTATTTGGGCATTCATTGGTGTCAGGGTTTGGCTTGAATTCATATTGTATAAGGATTACCAATATCTTACAAAATACATTACACTGGAGTACCATAGTCTAATTTTTCAGGGAAGCTTCTTTTATTTCTGCATTTTAAAGATCTACAATACACTATAATAGGAATTTGTTTAATTCAAACAAATAATACTTCTTTTGAATATAATAATAGTCGACTACCAGTGAAGCTACTACTGTATTAATACATTTTATATTGAAGTGCCTCATCTCAGACCTTTCAAGGAAGAGTTGCAAATAATTTTTTGTATTTTTATAACTGATGTATTTTTCTTAACACTACATAGGTAGAGTACAGTATTGAACTAATTTTCATGTATAACATAACATGTTTGTGATATTTGCATAATGTATAACATATTGTATTATGTAATATACAAATAGTAGTTTGTGTGTAATTGCCTAATTGTGATTACAGGGGCTTGAGTCATAGCTCCTGTGTCTGTGTTTAAGGAAGTACAGTGGACCCCCGGTTAACGAACTTTTTTCATTCCAGTAGTATGTTCAGGTGCCAGTACTGACCGAATTTTTTCCCATAAGGAATATTGTGAAGTAGATTAGTCCATTTCAGACCCCCAAACATACACGTACAAACGCACTTACATAAATACACTTACATAATTGGTCGCATTTGGAGGTGATCGTTATGCGGGGGTCCACTGTACTATAAAAAATTATACTAACAGATTTTTTTTCCTTTACAGTAACATATAGGTGGAAAGCAATTGAAATTCGGCAAGAACGTAAATTAGTGCCATTTCAAAGATATGGTCATACTGCTGTTGCTTTTGGTCATCTAGTATATGTTTGGGGAGGGCGGAACGACACTACAGCTTGTAATATCCTTTACTGTTTTGACACAAGTTAGTGATCATTAAAATTACGTATATATCAAAAGTACAGTATTTTAATAATGTATTATATATAAAAATGGGTAATGATATACATTTAATACTGTAATAATAATATTTAGTGGTTTTCTTTACATTCATTTCCACAATGCTCTTCCTGTGTTCCTGCTTTGTTAAAATACTAATTTTTTACAGGTTTGCACTTATGGTCAGTACCAGCAGTTGGTGGTCCAGTTCCTGAAGCCAGAGATGGACATTCAGCATGTATTATCAATGATCATATGTATATTTTCTCTGGATATCTTGAATATATGGAATCATATACTCAAGATGTACACACTTTAAACCTGAGAACCATGACGTGGGCTTATGTCAGGACTGCTGTAAGTGAGTTTTTCACATGTACAGTATCCAACATGAACAGTCAGTTGCCATGAACAGTCAATTGAACTATCAGTTGCCATAGAATATTTGATTACCCATCATGCATTACTTGTAATTAGACATTAATAGTATGGTAATGAAACCTAAGGTGAATATGATGAAATATATACTACTAGGATTGCCACTTGGTTGTTGATAAATATAGTTTACATTTATTTGCAAAGTGAATAAGACAAATTTATGGCAAATATTAAAACAAAATTTGGTAGAGCTTCATAAGCAGTTTGGTTAAGCTTGATAAGTAGTTTGGAAGAGCTTGATAAATAATCTCCATGCTTCTGTTACAAATAGGCTGTGTGAATAAGGAGCAATGGTATCCTATACAGTGCCCCAGTCGATGCCAAACATTGAGTCTGACTGATCATATACGGTGGAATCTTGGTTGTTGAACTCTATTCGTTCCAGATGTCAGCTCAACAATCAAAATGGTCGACAACCAAACCAGTTTTTCCCATAAAGAATAATGTTAATAGAATTAATCCGTTCCATACCAAAAATGACAGTATAATAATGTAATAATGTACTAACCTTCATGGGGAAGTGAAACAGAATTCTTCCTCCGTAAGCCATGTGTGTTGTAAGAGGCAACTAAAATGCCAGGAGCAAGGGGCTAGTAATCCCTTCTGTATACATTACTAAAGTTAAAAAGAAACTTTTTTCTTTTTAGGCCACCCTTCCTCAGTGGGATATGGCCAGTTTGTTGAAAGAAGAATAATGATGCACTAACTACTACATAAAAGTGTGTAAAATTATACAGCACACAGAAACTAAAAATGAATACTAACCCTTAAACTGTCCAAACATAGATAAACGTTCGCTTGCGTAGTGCTCTGAACTTAGATCTACTTTTTTTTTTTTTTTTTTTTTTACATGCTTTCTTATGGAGAAAATCAAGGTCAGAGCGCTACACATGCAAACGTAGATCTACATTTGGACAGTTTAAGGGCTAAATGAAAATTTAACTGAAATATTGTACAGTAAATGAAAATTTAACTGCCTCTTACCTGTCAGAGAAGAACTAATGACAAAATTCTGGCAACCTCAAATCTTGCAGGAGAAAGCTGGTAGGCCTACATGTGAGAGAATGGGTCTACATGGTCAGTGTGCATAGTATAAAAAAAAATCCTGCTGCATGCAGTGCATAATGAGAAAAAAGTCAGACTGCATTTTTTATTTAAAATGCTGACTTTGCTGTGTATTTTCGTATGGTATTTTCTTGTCTCGTTTGATAGAATGGAAGATGTATTACAGAAGTAGAAATGATTTGAAATGGAGCTCAAAGTAGCAGAAATGTTCGATTTTTGCCTATGTTCAAGAGTAAACAACACTCATCCAGTACACATCAAATGGTACGTCTAATATGCACACACGTGTTGACATTATTTATACAATTATTACAATTATGTAGTAGTCTGTATAGCCCTTGTGGCTTAGCACTTTTTTGATTATAATAATAATGTAGTAGTCTGAAAGACGGTAAATCTATTTTTTGTGTGAATAAAAAATTCAAAATAGAAAGAGTAATATAAGAGGGGCCTAGAGGACGTGACTAATGAACAGATAAAATGTTACTCTAGTGCCAGGAATGTTTGCATTGTTAATGCTGGATCCTATTTTGAATTTGGTATTTCTTGAATTTTGTTAAATTGGCCAAATTAGTTGAAATTTGTAAATGGGCAGTATCATGTACTCAGTTGATAGAATAAAAGGAGTTCTAGCAAAGTATCTTGAGTTAGGTCAACTGGAATAATGGAATTGACTCAGTGGGCGAAATCGCTGATGCCAAGACTGCTAACTTTGTGAGAGTGTAATTTGGTAAGTTTTCCATCAAATTTCATAATTTTAGTTTCATCACCTTCACAAGATGCACAGCAAGAGCTCAAGAGAAGTTTACAGCATGCGTGTTAGTTGCTGTACTGACTGAGACCCACACTGTGGACTCTGTCTGGTGATCACGTGATCCAAGCATTGTCGGTCGACAACCAAGATCACATACAAAAACCAGGACTGCATTCTTTGTTCAAAAATCGATTTGTCCAACAGCTAGTCCATTCGACAACAGAGGTTTCACTGTTGAAAAAGATCAGTATTTAGCGCTTTACCTGAATTTAATAACAGAAGTATGTGATATGGAATCTTTCAGAATCCGCCAGTTAAGGACAAAGTACAGCATTGTGGAACAGATCAAGATGTTGTATATGGAAAAAATACCAAGGAAAAATAACGATTGTAATTTATTTTTAACAATCATGATTGAATAAAAGTTATTTATCAATCTCTACCAAACAAATAAGAACTCCCAACGCATTCATAAAATGAATATACACCAATTACAGTATGTATATTTGGTATATATTCATTTGGTGGAAAAAAAGCTGAGGAAACTATTAAGAAGAATTTTTGAATATTTACTATGTTTATAACTGCAGATCAGTATTTGCGAGACATTAATTGGTTCTAAAGTGTCATAACCATAAGTGTGAGGCACCGTAATTTGAAACATTATATTTTGATGGTATTTTTTTGAACATTGTTTGTTGCCTGTATATTACACCTTGTGCATTTAATGCTTGTTTTAATTCAGGGTCAGGCTCCGGTATATCGAGACTTCCACACAGCTACAGGAGTTGATGGAGTTATGTATGTATGGGGTGGAAGAGAGGTAGCTAGTGGATGGTATGATTCTCCAGAGCATGAGGAATATGGCTCAGATCTTTATGCCTTGGACACAGCTGCAAGTCGTTGGAGTATTGTGCCTTGCTCAGGTTGCATTCCAATTGGTCGAAGATCTCATTCTGCTTGTGAGTACATTAAGAATTAATTTAAATTTATTTTCAGTATTTGGTCTTGTTAGAGCATGCAGTTGCAAGTTTTTAAGATATGTTGGCAAAGAGCTTGCATGGATAGTTAGTATGTTTATTATTATTGTTATTTGTATATTTAATTTTAATTCATTTTAATTTTTAATTTTAATTTTTATTAACCCTTTCAGGGTCCGTGCCATAGATCTACGGCTTTACATTCGGGGTCCAAACCGTAGATCTACGCCATGAGCTCAGCTCTGATAAGCTGTGAGTGGTAAATTTGGGCCTAGATATGAGAGAATGCATCTATGTGGTATGTGTGCACCACATAAAACAAATCCTGCAGCATAGTGTATAATGAGAAAAAAAGTGTGATTTTCGATTAAAACAGCGACTTGGCAGTGTTTTTCGTATGTTTTTTTTTTTATAGTTGTATTTGCTATTTCTTGGTCTCAATTGATAGAATGGAAGACACATTACAGAAACAGATGATTTTGATTGGTTTTAGCAATGGAAATGGCTTGAAACCGAGCTCAAAGTAGTTGGAAATGTTAAATTTTTGCCGATGTTCAAGAGTAAACAAACTACCTCATACGTCTAATACACGCCAGCTGGTGGGTCTAATATACCTTCACAAATGTGGTGATATTTATACAATTATTACAGTATTGCATAACAGTAAATCTTCTATTTTTTGGTTTGAATAAAAATTATGTGAATAAAAAATCAAAATGGAATTCATTTGTAAAGCCTCAAAACATAACTAATGAACAGAGGAAATGTCAGTTTAGTGCCAGGAATACCTACATTGTTTATTCTGTACCCTATTTTGAAATTGGAATATTTTGAACTTTGTGTTAAATTGGCTAAATTACCAATTTCCAATCACTTTATTTTGTAGTTGAAACAGTTGACTTGGTGATTTCTTGTGCTCAGTCAATAGAATAGAAGTAATACTAGTGAAATAGCTAAGAATTTGGTCGACTGGAATAATGTAATTGGCCTAAAATGGGAGTCAAAGTCGGCAAAATCGCCAATTCATAAATATCGCTGACACATCAAAATTCGCGAGAGCATGATTTCGTCAATTTTCCATCAAATTTCGTACTTTTTGTTTTATTACCTTCAGAAAAAGATTCTCTACCATTTCATAAGAAAAAATAATTTTTTTTTTGAAAGGTCTTGGACCCTGGTGCACACTTTGAAATTTGGCCTCTGGACCCTGAAAGGGTTAATGATCATCATGAGTCAGTATCAGTCATCTAGAATTGCAAAATCTACTGGATTTAAATGTCCTCCTGAAAGCACAACATAGTTAATGTATGTAGATTTCAATTATGGGAATAGTTCACTGCTGTTAACCAACAGTTTTTCCTTTTTTATAAATTTCAGGTGTGTATGTACAAGCTTTTTCTTAACAGTAGAACATAAGAAGTGATCTGGTTGATTGAGTTTAGTACCCTAAAGCTTTACCTCCCAAATTCTACTTCAAAGTGAGCATCAGTGGGTTTATCTCCAACTCCTCGGATCAGTCATTAACCAGGCTGCCTTCACTGTTCCTACCAAAAAAGTGCTTTGAAGCAGTAATAGGTTAGCTCTTAAAGATAAACCCTGAAAATAAAGGAATTACCCGAAGACTTGCCTTCAAGGAAAACTGTGAAACAGTTGTGCAACTTTTGATATGCAAGTTTTTGGCAACAAGACTGACATAACCTAGTGTAACTTTAACTTTATTTACAATAAATTAACATAATTTGCATAGCATATTGAAGAATTTGCACCTTTCAGGACCTTTCTTGATTTCTGGTGAAGGGCTCTTGACTCGAGGAATTAGAGCTACTATTCCACGCCTGGAACAAACCTGATTACCTCCCATTCCCCAGGCACTGTACCAGGCCTACGAGTGTAGTGCTTCCCCATTATTTTAATAGTATCAAGAATTTGCATAACTATTTCATTGTTTACCGTGCGGAGGGGGTACATCTTCAGGTAATGAAACAAAGGAATTGTTGCTTTCTTAACTGTATTTAATAATGAACGTTCATATTTCAGTTGTGTACAGAGGGCAGATCTACATATTTGGTGGTTTCAATAGCAGAGAAAAATGCCATTTTAATGACTTGCATAGATTTAATCCTGGTGAGTGATTTATACCACTGTTACTAAAAGGAGAATGTATGTTTGCCTTCAAGGTAAACAACATGCATGATTTAAATGAATGGGCCAAAGAAAATTATTTTGAATCATATACAGCAGAATTTTTTTTAGAAGGGAATTAAGGTCTTACATGATAAATCAACATGTCCATTAAGCATTGTGCAAAAAATTAATCCTTGTCCCAACTCTGCATGTAAATAGCTTTGAGTTGGGTGTTGATTGCTTTGTAATTTGTCCTGTTTCACATACAATAGGAAATAAAGGCAAAAATATATAGATTGTGGAAAACAAATTCATTTAAATTTGATTTTGGGGGATAAATGTATTGTATATTATTTATTGTAACATTGAAATATAATTTAGTTTGTAGTTAACCGTGTTCTTACAATGTATGTAATTAGTTTTACTCATCATACCCATATATTAATCTAGCTATTTTTCTGTCCCAAGTGACAAGTCATTGGGAAGAAGTTACGCCTCTTGGTAAAGGTCCATGTCCAAGACGAAGACAATCCTGTTGTGTAGTGAACTCAAAAATGTTCCTGTTTGGCGGTACTAGGTAAGTATAGCATTTTTCATTATCATTTCTCACCTTGGAGATACCTTAGGCACAGTTCTGACTGCAGTGGTTGAAATTGATTAGATCCCTTCACTGTATATAATATGCAACCTCAATTCATTCACCTCTGATAATTATGATGAATATGATGAGTATGCAATACCAACAAGTTGGTAATTAAGACACAAG